CCTTGATTGTGATTCTACTTTTCTCAGTTTTCTATTCTCTGTGTTACAGCCTCAATCTATGGCTGTAAAATTATTCCCTGGATTCACAATTTTACAGTTATTCACATAAACATCGCGCCTTAATCGTGCTTCTACCTTTCATCATTGATTAGTTCTCTTTTTTTCTTTACATCTTTTCTTTGTTGATTAGTTCTAATCCAGCTATTAACCTAAGCTCTGGTCACGGTTTCTCGTCCTCCACATGGCCCTTCAATTTCCTATTTTTTTCCCCTGTCCGCATAGGAGCAGCAATCTGTGATTAGATTTGGCTGTGATGCTTCAATTCCATGTGAGGCTATTTTCCGTACATGTTCAGTGATTCATCGTATGCAGGTAGGTTTTCCATTTGCCAATTGTTGTTGCTTTCTCTGGTACACGCAGGTTCTTTCCAGATCTAACTATGCTATTTGTACAGTCCATATCAGCCTTCAATGTGTTAGAACGCCCCTTCCTAATTACTATGGGTGACCATGTTTATTTGGTACATGTTAGATGTCCTTGTCGTTCATTCTTAGTCAACCTTCAGTCTGATATGTACCTTTTTTTACACTGCTACCATATCACTATCACATTACTACAATCATATCTGTGAGGTAACCGTTGTTACATGACCTGATCGCTATCTTGTGCTTGTATATTCAGGTCAAAATTGTCAGTTTGAAGCATATTTCAGCCACACCAGAAGTTAAATTGATGAATTGACAGAAAAAAAGGTATGGGTCTTAAGGTGCTCATGCATATTTGATTTGCCAACCTTTCCCAGCAGCTTGGCTTTTTTTGTTTTGGGGATCAGCTAATTGGTACAAGCAACCACCAGATACAGCTTTTACGTTGATGTATATACCATTAGATAGAGGTCAGCTAATCGACACATCTATCATTTTAGTTTTTTAACAAATTTGGACATCTAAGATGTCGTGTACACCACACCTAATGAAGTACATCTTTCATGGTTTTATTGATTCTCAATCTTACCTCACATTCACGCTTGCTTTTTTTAAACTAATGCAAACTTGATGAGGTTTATTCTACCTATTGCTTAGAATGCCATTCCTTTGCTACACTATGTAATTCCCGTGCCTTTTTGCCTAGCTTTATATGCTTCTTCCAAGACTCTGCTACTGCAGGTTCTATATATAATAATCTAAGACGGTCTAAATTAGTATATTTTCTCCTCTACTGTTTATGTTGGTTGGTGGTTTATATAGCCCAAATTGAAAGCACAGGAACTGCCTCCTGCTAATTTTTAGTGTTTGTACTTGCAGCGCTGGAGCAGAAATCATCCATCATGGTATGTTCATCAGCCCAACCTTTCAGTTTGGACCAACAGTCCTCTACATTAAACTTCTAAGATTGTTTCCATACAAAGATTAAAAATATTTTTTCCTGCGTCTTAACCAGGTGATTTGCCGGCGCGCGTCATGAACTAGGCCTTGTTTAGATACCCTCAAAATTCCAAGTTTTTTCACTCTCTCTCCATCACATCAATTTTTAGCCGTTTGCATGGAGCATTAAATATAGGTAAAAAAAAACTAATTACACAGTTTAGTTCAAAATCACGAGATGAATCTTTTGAGCTTAGTTGGTCCACGATTGGACAATATTTACCAAATAAAACGAAAGTGCTACTATTCATCAGTTTGAAATTTTTTTCAATCTAACTAGTATTCATTATTCAAGCACACAAACGACTAAAAGAGTCTCCATCTACTATGCTGGTACTTCTGGCGAGAGTTTCATCCTTGGTCACAAGCTTTAAGCAATCTGGGGGTTAAAATGATGGTCAAATGTTTTGAAATTAGCTGAACAAGTAGATCAATCAAGGCAGAAAAAATTAAGAAATATCATACCCCAAGCCGCTTCTTTGTCTGCTCAAGTAAAAACTGTGGGTCCAGTTTAGTCTGTGTATATGCATCGATCTTGTTCACTTCCTGAAATATACCAATCCATGATTTAAAATTTCTCATCAAGAAAGTATTATCAAGAGAACTGGTTTGCATTGGGCTATGCAGCCTGGTCATTAGGATAAAAGGATCATATCAAACATTGTGAGTGAACTACAAACATAAAGCTTTAGCCTGTTTAATGTCCCTCTGTCTGTGAATTACCTCAATGAACTTCTGAAGGTTGGGTCGGCCCTTTGTGATATCATAGTTCTTTATGTTGGAATAGAATATCTGAATCCTCTCGATGAATGGTACATACGCAATGTCCACCTGTAATGAAATTACGCGTCACGACAAAACCACATACGACCTGAAGCCCACATTCATAATATGAACTCTTTCTAATAGAGATTTGATTTTGAGTCATGCTCTGGTGAATGATTCCTAGTGTTCAGTAACATACCAGACTGAACTGACCAAGGAAGAACGGGCCGTCATTAAATTTCCCCAGGGCGTCTTCTATTTTATCCAAAGCAGCAACTGATGTATAGACAATGCATGATACAATTAGCATGTTATTAAAAAGAAGGCCTTTTCAAACATGCGAACTAGTTTTGTTACCAGATTCCTCAGACACATCTTCCTTGCTGAGTAAAGATGAGTATAATGCTTTGTTAAATGCATCAGTATATGCAAGCAGCTCCTCAGCGAACTGCTTCTTTGCAGGATCCTGTGAAGAATCCAGAGTCCAGAGGTTAACAAGCCTGAAAAACACCTTTTTTTTCAAGCGCTACATTGAGGGCGATCTTATGTACCTCAGGGAGCAACGATGGACCTTCGAAGTTGCTGTCAAAGTACTTAACCAGATCCAAGCTCTCTCCTTTCACCTGGTTGTTGTGCTCCAGAGAAGGCACCTACGGGGAAAGAAAACAAGGGTAAATCATACATGAAAGGAAAATGTAAAACAAAGTATAACTGGACCTTGGAAAATCTGAACATGAAAGGCCCTAAGGGGGATAGCAGATTAATCAAACACACCTTGTTTTCTGGATAAACCTTCTCCTTGTACCATGCTGGCCTGTCAGCAAGATCGATGGCAACTATCTTAATCTTGTCCTGCAAACCCTGGACAAACGACGAGGAACAGAAAAGGTTTCAGTTTTCCTTTCCAGGAAGACACCACAAAAGAGAACCGCTTCAACAAATCAAAGAACAGAGGTCATGGTGATGGTGGCACCTTGTAGTTCCTGACAATCCAAGCGCGCTGCGCGAACGGGCTATTATATGCAACGTACAACCTTCACGAAACTCAAAGATGGGGTTAACTTCTAGCTCCTCTGCTCCTGATCTGCACAGGTGAAGATTTGCAATTGATAGGTCGAAAACCTACCTGGTGGTGCCATCGAAGAGGGGAGGGGGCTCGGAGGCGGAGGTCAGGGGAGACGGCAGCGCTTCCTTGGGGCTTCATGCACGGGGAGGAAGAATTGTTCCATTAAAAAAAACTCAATAAAGAATCTCCCGTCGCAGAAAATTCAACGAAGAATCTGAACGGCGACAGCCAACAGAGATAGGATGTGGCCAGTGCTCACCTTACAGGCAAGGCGGATGCCATGGCGACGATACGGGTTCGGGAGGAGCTTCGAGCGCGGAGGTGGTGATGAGCTGCATCTTCTAGTCGCGGGCAGCGAATCTTTATACGCGGCGATGGGAGGGAATGTGGGGCGGGCGCGTTGGAGGCGTGCGTCAGTGGTGACGGACAGCCAGGGAAAGCGAGTGAATTCATGGGAGGCGACAGGCGAGTGAATGGATGTGTGAATCGTGTGACAGACTGATTGGACGACAGGGTCCCAACTCCCCAGCCGTCCTGGCTGGGCCGGCGGCCGGCCTCACTTCAGTTGGGCTTGTTTAGCTTTGGGTTAGAAATCAGTATTTTGATATTGTAGTATTTTTGTTTGTATTTAATAATTATTGTCTAATTATAGTCTAACTAGGCTCAAAAGATTCGTCTCGTAATTTATAATCAAACTGTGTAATTAGTTATTTTTTTATCTACATTTAATACTCCGTACATGTGTCTAGAGATTTGATGTGATGAAGAGAGTGAAAAAACTTGCAATCTAAACCAGGCCTTGGACGCGAACGCGGTGCAGGTGCGGTTTTGACTGTGCCTGGCTGTGCTTCAGGCCCGGCGGAGCCTTCAGGATTTTCTGGAAGGATTCCGGCGAGTAGTTGGTACGAGCACTTGGTAGGTTGTGGATCTGCGTCGGTCCAAGAAAAAAAAATTAGGGCAAACTGTCTGTGTGATGTTACACCGCGTACAGACGACTAAATAACCACGTACAGTGGGTTGTCTATTTAACTGTTTGTTAATTCTTTAATGTTCGTATGTATCAGCCATAATTAAACGTAGATATGTTCATGTATTCACTATGTTGCTTGTTGATAAATAAATACTCCTTTTAAAAAAAAACTATAATTCTAGCTTTGAACATAGACACTGGAGTACCAAACATAAATATATTTATATATAATGTAATAAAATATTTTTTTCATAATCAAGTAAAACATAATACGACACAAGGAAGTTTCCGTTCACATCCACAGGGAAGCAAAAGGGACCACGCCAGCTTGCCGTTGCCGCACGCGATCGGACCACGCCCGGGGCCGTTCTAGGAGCACAAGCCACGGCCGTCGTCTCGTGACGTGACCGCAACACTCTCTCTTCGTGGTAACTCTGCTGTGTTTTGCCTTGGTGGATGAGTAATTGTTGTATGTGCCCTTACGAGCCTGTTTAGAGCGAGTATAATAATAGGCTATAAGCTCGTTAAATACTGGAGGATAGAGAAAATGAGAGAGAGGAGAAGCGGATTGTAAGTTTATAGCCGACTTAGGCACCAGAACTTAAAAACTTTATGAGAGAGACACATGTGCCATTTATTAATAATAAAGACCTTATTATTATATATGTGAGCTGAGAGAAGGCTGCTAAGAATCTTACAGCCAGCAGCCGGCTATAACTATTAGCCTGGCTCTAACAAGCAGAAGCTAGCAGAGGCACTGTGCCTGTTCAATGAGATGATCAATGCTGGCATCAGACCGGATCCCATAGTCTTCACTGCTGTGCTTACAGCTTGTGCTTATACTGGCAAGGTAGCTGATGCTCGTAAAGTTTTTAACTCCATGCAGGTTGTGTTTGGTATCAATCCGGTGATGGAGCAATATGCTTGCATGGTTTCTGGATTCAGCCGTGCAGGGATGCTAAAGGATGCACTTGAGCTTGTCAGCAGCATGCCATTTGAACCAAATGCAAAGGTCTGGGGTCCATTGCTTAATGGAGCAGCAGAATTCGGTGATGTTGAGCTTGGTAGATTTGTATTCGATCAACTATTTATGATTGAGCCTAAGAACACCGGTAATTACATTGTGATGGCTAATTTGTACTCAAATGCTGGCAAATGGGAAGAAGCTGAGATCATAAGGAGCATGATGTGGGGAGTTGGGCTCGAGAAGGTTCCTGTGTGTAGTTGGAATTGAGGGGTTTCAATGGTCTGCATGTTTTGTTGCTACATATACATCAAGCAAGCGAGCCATAAAAACAATGTGGTTGTTGATGGATTGATTGATCTGAATTGTAGAAAATAGCTTGTTCTCAACCAGTGCTAGACGAAGACAAGTTATATTGATGGCGTTCAAAAGATCTAATAGTTGAGATGTGATTATCATGCTTGAGAGCACACCTGACTTGTAGAGCTATTTGGACCACATCATTTCACTCTCAACTGTGTGGCCGGTCTTGATTTGAGTGATTAACTAACGTAGGCCCAATACGCATAAGAGTTCAAACCAATGAGAGCAACATTCCATGACCTTCTTATCTTTACAAGGTGATAGATACTGAAACCTGTGAATGTAAAAACTTTGGAAGCAGTAGCAATCTAATTTGGATTTTTAGGATCTGCAGGTATCAGCTGAATCCCAACCCTGGATGGAGCACCAAATAAGCTACATGCAGAAAGCTATTCACTGCATCAACATAAGTTGCTCTAGTGACAGATGCAATGAATGAAGTTTCTAATTTGCAACGTTATCCTGCTGTTTTCAATTCTACAGTATGGGAAGACCATAGCTTTTATGTAACGATGTAGAATACAATGCATATTTCTACAGTCTATCATGCTTTTCTGAGCATATTGTTCTCTCTATCAAATCAAATGCACAGACTACTTTGCTTGTCCCTTAGACCCCACCCTATTCTGGCATTAGAATCAGAACTGCATGGAGCTAGCACAACAAGACCTGTCTTTTAGTGCCCTTGTGCGTGTGTGTGTGTGTGTGTGTGTGTGTGGATCAGGGTTCACATGCTTAGATCATTCTACTTCACTACTTCCCAGCTCATGAACTCCAAAAAGGAAAAACGCACATGTAGTTCTCTGATTTGCACCATAACTTGTTCTGGCCTCACTGCTAGTGCTAGATATACATGACTCTTATTTCGTTGTTCCCAGGTTCACATGCTCATCACAGGCTGCGCAGATGTGGCAATATGATAATGTTTCTGGTGGCGTCTTTGATGAGACGATGTGAAGCATTCAGCCTTACAATCTTGATGTGTGGTGGTCCAGCTCACCCTGGAGCCTTGGAGTTCAAGTGAAGCTAAGTCAGTATAACCACTGCATCTCTTTAATCATAGCATAGCAACTCTGCATTCCCATCTGAGCAGACGTATATGGAAAAAAGAAACATAGCTCCAGAGGTGGAATATTTCATAATTAGGATTTAGGATCACAGAGTGCCTAAAAATTCCGAATGAATTCGAAGAGTGCCTAGGCGCCGTAACAGGCTAGGCTACCACAAACAAAACACACAGCAAGACAGGCCAGGAGAAGCTTTTGTCACTCCATTTCCCTTTTGGCACGACCTCTGCTGTCAGTATATTTGTAGGAAAATGGTTGGGGTCGAAACCTGGCTAATTATGTCCAATTGTCCGTTCCTATGTCTGGATCCATATAGGTTTCAAAATGTTTTGAATAGGTTGATAGTGTTATGCCTGCTGATACTGATGATACCTTTGTGCACGTGACACGCCTACCCAGCAGGTCACGGTGCTAACCAGCGGCAGAGGTGGACAAGGAGGCGGTGTCGTCTGTGCATTGGCTTTGGCTGGCCTGCACGGACGCCGAGCACCAGCATGGGCTATGTGTGCTTGCATTCACTTGCCGGAGAAGCGCCGCAGCCATCATCGTTCGTCGCTCTCCCAGATCAGCAATGATGGTCGTCGGTACCGCGCGCTGTAATCATGTGGGGGGAAAAAAAAAGACGTGGACCCCCAGTAGAAGGATACTTCTGCACTGCAGTACCTAGAAGTTACCGTTCCCAGTTGAACAGGTACAGTCCCCATCTCGTCATCTTTGTCATTCTACTTTGGTCCCTTTACACTTTCTTCTACCTGTTGCTTTTCAACGCATAGTTTTTTGACTGGTCGAAGCTCTAGTCTAACCATGGCTTCAACCTTCAAGAGACCCAAGACCTTGGCAGCAGCCCGAGGAGTGCGAGGACCCAATACTTTGGACCGTACGAGGCCTGGCATGATCCCAGGGGGAAATGTTGCAGCTTACTGTCGGTTCTCCTCGTGCCAATTATTCGCACATTATTCTTGATTTCTTGGTTGTTAAGCTCGTGGGTGAAGGAATTATTCTTGGCTGTTAAGCTCGTGGGTGAAGGAATTTTCGTACGGTACAAGAACGGCAGCAGCAGCAGCTCATGCGGCACGAGGAGAATCTCAACTCTCAAGTAGGTTCACAAAAGGCTCACGCTTCACAGGGTTGGGCGGTGCCGAACGCCAATAATCCCTCCAGGCTCCAGCACCTCTCCAGCCAACTCCTCTCTGCATTTGACATGGCAGGTCAGTTCCGGTTAGTCTATATGCTTTGTTTCACCAAACTTTGCGTGCTTATACTGTTCGTTAGCACATTATTCTTTAGAGAAGAGAATATTTGATAGTATATTTGAGAATCCACATGAGAGCACGGACAGCTCAACTGTCATTGTTATCGCTGCGCCATCTTGTCGGTTCTCTCCCCGATTCAGGTCACTTCAGTTCGGTTCAAATCGCGGGAAGCAGCACAGGAAGCTCGTGAGGCAGCGCGACAAGGACGCTCGACGCGATTTTTGTCCTGGTATCATGGTACATGCTACGTGCACTCGTCTAGTGTACTGTATTTTTCTATAAAAGAAAACAAATGAGGAGTCGGTGGCTGCCAGGGATTCTTTTCAGGCGCTGCTAAAAACCACGAGGAAAAGAAAATTCAGCAAGAGGACAGCAGGGCTGGGCGGCCGGCTGGGGTCGAAGTCGAACAGCAGCAAGCGGGTTGAATGAATGAATGAGCCAGACAGCCAGCAGGAGGATCGGGCTGTCACGTGGCTTCCCTTTCTGCCGTCCGCTGTCCTCCCTTGCTCACATACACGATGGCAGGAACCAGGATTGCAGTTTGCAAGGCCCAAGGCGGTTGCCCCACATGTCCCCTGGGACCATCTCCTTTGTTAACAGCTGTATTAGCTAGGTGGCGGCAACCACAAGAGTAGCAAGCAAATCCCACAGCAAAACACGAACACCAAGTGCCTCTAGATGTAAACACTCAAATAATGCACTTGGATTCTCTCACAATCTCACAAGATGATGAATCAATGATGAAGATGAGTAGTAGGGCTTTGGCTAAGCTAACAAGGTTGCTATGTCAATGCAAATGGCCAAGAAAGCGAGCTTGAGCCGACCATGTGGCTTAAATAGAAGCCTCCACGAAATAGAGCCATTATACCCCTTCACTGGACACAGCGCGGGGTGACCGGACGCTCCGGTCGGATCGACCGGACACTGGCCCTCAGCGTCCGGTCACGTGATTCATGCCACGTGTCCCCTGCTTCAAATACTGTTGGTCAGATTTCAACGGTCGTCTGCTGACCGGACACAGCGCACAAACTGGTCGGACGCTCAGCCTCCAGCGTCCGATCGTTTTCGGTAAGGTTCCATAAACGAATTTCTTCGACCGGACGCGTCCGGTCATGCTTTACCGGACACGGTCAGCGTCCGGTCAGTCACCCTGACCACTGTGCTGCCACGTCAGCTGGGACCGGACGCAGCCTTTCAGCGTCCGGTCAATCCGAGACCCAGCGTCCGGTCGTGTGACCGAAGCTGGCGTCTATGCTGTTACGTTTGACTGGACGCGCCGGTCCTTCTGAGACCAGCGTCCGGTCACCTTGTGACCAGCGTGACTAACTCTTTTTCACTTCTATCTTCTTCACCCTTGCTTAAATGTGCCAACCACCAAGTGTATCACCTTGTGCACATGTGTTACCATATTTTCACAAACATTTTCAAGGGTGTTAGCACTCCACTAGATCATAAATACATATGCGATGAGTTAGAGCATCTAGTGACACTTTGATAACCGCATTTCAATATGAGTTTCACCCCTCTTAATAGTACGGCTATCAAACCTAAATGTGATCACACTCTCTAAGTGTCTTGATCACCAAAACAAAATAGCTCCTATAATTTATACCTTTGCCTTGAGCCTTTTGTTTTTCTCTTTCTTCTTTTCAAGTCCAAGCACTTGATCATCACCATGGCATCACCATTGTCATGTCATGATCTTCATTTGCTTCTCCACTTGAAATGTGCTACCTATCTCATGATCACTTGATAAACTTGGTTATTACTTAGGGTTTCATCAATTCACCAAAACCAAACTAGAGCTTTCAGGTGGCCCACGCGTACGCGCGGCCTAGGCGGGGGCGGGGCGCACGCGCGACCACAGGCCATGGCCCACGATGTGGCGAGCGCGGCCCATGCAGCCGGAAGCGGTCGGCCCACGCGCAGACGAGCCCAGGCGAGGTGGCAAACTTGTAGGAAGGCCCTGAACTTTCTCGAAACTATCCCACAGTATAAAGCACTATTCATGTGAGTCACGGATTTTTCATTAGGAACCCTGGAAAATTTCTATTCTATTTTTCTCACATTGGCTCTTCCTGTGGCGTAGCAGAGGAGGGGCAGCGGCCTGGCGGCACAGAAGCAGCATCGGACCTGGCCGTGCTCACGGGTGCCGGCGGCATGACCAGGGGCGGCCCAAGGCACCCTGGCCACGCACACACATGGGTAGCCGCATCGGCGGCGATGGCGTCGCCACGGTGGGGGTGCTGCTGGGCACAACAATGGAGGTGGAGCGGCGTGGGGCAACGCAGAGCTCAGGCCCGCTCGCACGCGTGGTGGCTGGCGATGGGAGGGGCCACAGGTGCTTGCAGTAGGCCAGCCACGCGCACGGCGGCATGCAGAGGCCATGGTGGGGGGGGGGGAGCCGTCACCGGCAGGTCAAGGAGAGGTGGTCGTGGCCGACAGCAGCTCGGCGTCGTGGCTACCATGTTGGGGGTGGCGACGTGACGTTCCCGGCCACGGACGTCAGGGCACAATGGTGAAGAGGGCTCGGCAAGGTAGCGGCCTCAGCGAAGCAGAGGAGGAATAGTGTGGCTCCCGCGTCGGT